GTACGAGAGATGTAATGTTTTAATGAGGTAAACATTAGTAACAGTGATAGTATTACTGACATTTTGGAAACTTCAGAAAAACTGTGGCTTAGCGAATCGCGTCAACATTCAGTGTTTGTGTTGCAAACAGTATGACTAAAAGATATAATCTCTAAACATGATAGGAGGTCTTGATGAACTTTCTGAGTGAGCTAATGTTTAGGAATTGTGCACCGTTGTCGAAAACTTGTCCAATTGTCTCCAAGTATCCAGGTTGAAAGTTCATAGCCAGAATGGAATCGTAATTATTTCGAGGTAAAAGATTTAGTGAAAGTTCGAGTCGAGGTTAGCAAGATCGTTTACTTTTGTACAGGTTACTGTGATTATGCATGTCGGGAAATGTGATGATTTTGAGATAAATAACTTGTTTTGATTCCTGTAAGAAAAACTTACCAAGTTACTCCGTTCAAATGTGGGACGTACAAGTAAGCTGCAGCATTTAATTATTTTTATTCTCGAATATCGTATTAAATTACTGTTTTTGCTTATCTTTTATTTTCAACAAAGTGTGTCAGTTATCTGTTAATATATATTGAGAGATATAATATAATAATAATAACATTAAAAAATCATATGACATTAGTAAAACGAGATGCCATTCAAGACAACTGATACTAAAGTTAAACAGTTTTTAAAAACGTGAATAGAATATAAGCGGAATTAGCATACATATTTGTTCAGTGTGCTGGACCTTATCAAATTAGCTTTGTATCAAATTTCAAGGCTTTGTTCGTTTATAGCAAAGTAAAACGAAACAGTAATATACTGTTACGTCTAATTGATCTGCAGTCAGAAGTATTATTGACGTTCGTTGATATAGCGTTGTTTTAGCGCGATTGTTGAAGTTGAGTGTATCGGTAAAGTTATATTCGGAAAGAATAAACCAGTTTTATTAAGTAAAGACTTGTGTCGTTAAAATTTCGTCGGAACAAAGTTACGGAAAAATCAATTAACAAACGGACTCACTGTCTATACACACATTACATTTCCTTCCCGCGTCACGTTTTCCCCCTCTTATATATACCAGCCTTCCCTATCTAGTAAATACTAGAGCATTCGTCAAAGTACATGATAGTTCTAGAAACGTGGCGTCACTGTAGTCATGTGACTCGCTGACGCAACAATATATTTATTAATTGTCCTCAACCATATCATGCAAAGAACATTACAAAAAATGTCATATGAAAGCCAACAACCAGTCCAAAAACTACTCGTCTCAAATATAAGTGTAAACTTGACTTCAGTGATGTATAGTAAGTAGTCTAATGAGTAAAGTTTGTCTTTTATTTTTTTGGTACTGATGATAAAAAAGTAAACAACAGAAGGCATTTGATCTTGATTGTGTGTTGCAACAGTCAAAGTTGCTGGAGGTAGTGTACAGGTACATGAAATATTCTCGAGGTTAGAATTGGGTACTTTGATCTTTGCAGAAGAGCAAGTAACATCTAGATTCTACTCGATTACTGCTTCTATTCCACTCTGATGGACAAAGGTGATCAACAATCCATTATTCTTATAAGAACAAGATTAGCTTGAGAAGCATGATAAGACAACATTCATTTTTGATCAACACAATCAATAAATCTCAATTGAATTGAGCATCCTTGGGATGAACCCGAATGTTGCAATTTGTCAGTGTAGTTCTCTGTTTACATGAGTGATTTAACTGCAGAACATATGGCTTTATAAATTGGTTACAACTGAATAAAGACTTCTCCACATATTGTAGAGGTTATCACAATAATTCAAGACTATTATAACAGTAAAAGGTGATTCAACTCATTATTAGCTGAGGATACCAATAATGTGGCCACTCATTGTAGTTGCATAATCTAGATACAGTATGTATACCTCTAATGTGGCCACTAACTGTACTTGCATGATCTAGATAAAGCATGTATACCAATAATGTGGCCACTCACTGTAGTTGCATGATCTAGATATAGCATGTACATCAATAATCTGACCATTCACTGTAGTTGCATGATCTAGATATAGCATGTATATCAATAATCTGACCATTCACTGTAGTTACATGACCTAGATATAGCATGCATATCAATAATCTGACCATTCACTGTAGTTACATGATCTAGATAAGGCATATATGCCAATAATGTGGCCATTCACTGTAGTTGCATGATCTATATAAAGCACATATACCACTAATGTGGCCACTCACTGTAGTTGCATGATCTAGATATAGCATGTATATCAATAATCTGACCATTCACTGTAGTTACATGATCTAGATAAGGCATATATGCCAATAATGTGGCCAGTCACTGTAGTTGCATGATCTATATAAAGCACATATACCACTACTGTGGCCACTCATTGTAGTTGCATGATCAAGATAAAGCAAGTAATATTATCAATTCCACTCAAGTTTATTTTTTCCAATAAACTGTCATGCACAAAATATTCTCTCTATAGTTACATCAAAATGAAGATTTTCAGTTAAGATTTCATATCAAATTACAAACTATCACTATTATTGCTGTCAAGTGAAAATTTTTTTATTTTGTCAATTGTACTTTACATTTTTAAACAAAGCTAAGATATTTAAACAAAATCAATTAAGAAACATACATTTTGTTTTAGATATTTGTGGAAAGCTACACAAAGGCTATCCATCCTTAATTTTAAACTAACAGCCAATTCTTGAGCACTTTAATCAAATAGTGGGATTTGGCACCAAAGTATGGAAAGTGGTTTTGTGACAACAAGACATGAGCCACAGACCTTCATATTCACAGTGTGGCAAACTAATCACTTGGCCTGGCTCTAACATGTATTGTATAACTAATTATTACTTGGAGATTATGCAAGCTTAGAAATTATTTAATTGGAAAGTTTTGAATAAAAAAAAGTTAGACAACTAAAAGGACAAAGTTGTGCCCAAAATCTGTTAGATAGAAAAAAATTAAGTTTATGGTAAAATTATTTTTACAAAAATAAAATACGAAAATATGGACTCTGTGTATTCAAGTCATATTAATACAAAACATATTAGCCATTCAAAAGTTATGTTTAATACATGTTCATTAAGTCAAGATGATGATTTTTCTAGTAGAGAAAAATGATTCTGTATTAAAGTATAGTTTGACCAAAAACCATTAGTGTATTTTAATCTTAATGTTATCTATGTGCTCTAGCTACATATCATTTACATTTAGTATTTTCTGCTGTCAGAGTATCACTTCATCATCCATAATAAACCATCTTCAGGTCCAAAACTGATGAAATAAAAAATCATTGGAAATGAAAAAAAGAAAACATTACAATAATGATGGTTAGCCAATTTTTTATTTTCTTTTTCACAACATTTTCAATAATCTGATTATTATAATACAAAACAGCAAGGCCAGGACACTATATGTGCTTGTTTTTCATGGCCAAAATATATCATAGAATAAATAAATATTATGATAAAATAAATACTGATATTCAAAGTAAATAAACATACTTCAGTTTCATGCTTTTCCTAGACCCTAAAATCCTGTTTCAAAGGTGAGAGGAAAGCTATGTTGTTTTGTAAGCAAAACATTTTTATACTGGCTTATCTACAAATAACTATAAACTACAAATTCAAATAACTATATTAGCAATATAAATTATTATATAATGGAAAGCAAAATGACCATATCAGCAATGAATATAAAATACTGAGTATACATGAGACCATCCAGTCTGCCCTTTCCTGTAATACAGTTCTGAGTGTCAAAAAAAATTTCATCATTTTGAAATCTAGCTTTACTAAAACCCTTACAACTACTGTTCATGCATTGACAAAATTCCAGTTCGGTATTAAATGACTCAAAAGTTTTTACCACAAACAGGTGGGCTATAATGATGTCTCCATATGTATGTTACTCTTATATGACAGTAACAGCTGTTTCAACAATATTCACTTGTGTTGCATGTTTGCCACAGAGTACTTAAAAGTTGTTTATTACTTAACTTGTGCATGTAAGTGGAAGAAGCTTATGTGGAATACTAATATACTGCACTGTACTATAATAAAGTGTACAAAATTAAGGTCTAAATCGTGCTACCATAGAAATATGTCTAACATTCAAAACACTTCTGTTAATTTGCTTCCTACTAGCTCACTAAACAACTCTGATTTATAAACTTGCACAGTCACAAGACAAAAGGTAGAAATAGTAAAACTGACAAATACACAAATGTTTATTCATAATATAAATAGCATATGAATGTTCAACAAATTTTTTTTTCATCATTTTTAACTACTAGAATTAATAAGTACCTACACTCTATAAATCTAATAAAATAGATACTTAACATTTTAAACAACAGAAAGTATAAATAGATAAACAAAAAAACTACAAAAAATGACTTCTATAAAAAAATACAGAAATACACAGGCCTATATATATATATATTTGTTCAAATAATAATAAACACGAAGAAAATAACTTCAATACAATCACTACTTTTATAGCATTTAACTTTAGCTACATAATATCAAGGCTTTGTTTTTTCATGATAAAAATCACCATAAAGCTATCATTATCCAATGTAATGCAAAAATGCTATTTTACATAACTTAAGCAGCCTCTATAGAACAAGTGTATTAAACTACATTGTATGCTTCTTTGTAATAGCAATAAATGCACCATATTAACCCCCATAAAAACTGAAATCCAGTTTACTGCACAATATATACAGCAGTTATTTTAAAATAAACACATGAAGGAAGTTGAACACAAAGCTCTTGTTTGTCACCACTAAGATATTCTAATCCATCCAAACAGAAAAAAAAAAAGATATTGGATGACTGAATTCCTTATTTTACTTTTTCCCACTTCTTGTATCACCATATCATAATCAGTGTTCAAAATTAAATTCCTTCCTAAAAAACTAAACCAATATTGTATCTCCTGTTGAGTTTCACAAAATTTCAATTTCTCAAACAAACATGTTTTCCTATTATCTTTTTTTTACAAGACCTCAACTGATCCCATAAGTTTTCTTATGTAGAAAATCCTACACAATTTACAAACACATTTTTATAAGTTGGATTAAAATCCTATCCATCTAAGTATCCTCAGTCTGTATAAACACAATCAATTTCTACTTGTCATAAATAATTATCCACCATCTTAATATCTTTCATCTAATTAAATGTATTAAACTTCTAAATCAGATCAAATTTTCCATATTTCAACACTCCAATATATTTGTAAGAAATACATCCCTAAAACAGATCAGTATTTCTTGTCTACCTAAACACTCTATACCTATTACAAATATACCTTTGAAGAAAATCAGTATTTCTAGTCTACCTAAACACACTATCCTTATAAAATTAATCAAAATTATCACCATTTTAACACCTCAGCCTAAATATAAGAAATACACCAAATCAGTATCTCCAGTGTTCCTGAACACAGTACAGTTTTAAACCAGATAAAAATTATCATTTTAACACTCTAGTTTACCTGTAATAAAAACACCCTCAAATTAGACCAGTATATCTGGTCTACCTGATACAGTACACTTATAAACCAGACTACAATTATCATCATTTTGATATCTTCGGCCTACCTATAAACACGACATTCTTAAAAAAATCTGCATCATCTATCATTTTCATAGTTCAAATCTATTTAAACATAGCAGTCTTACAAGTCAGATCAAAATTCTCACAATTACAACACCCCAGTCTACCTACAGACAGAACACTCTTAAGCCATATTAGTATTTCCAGTCTATCTAAACACAATACACTTCTATACCAGATCAAAATTATTCACTTCTTCAACATATTCAGTCTATCCAAAGACAGTATATTACTGAACTAAATCAAAATTCATTATTTCAACATCCTCAGTCCACCTATAAACATCACACCTCTATATGAGATGAAAAACAAAACAAACTATTACTGCTTTTGTACCTAAACACTGCCAGAATAACTCATCTTAATACCTCCAGTCTATTTATATCCAATCAAAATAACCCAGCATACTATGTCCTGTGTGCCAATGCACACATTCTACATCAGCTCAAAGTAATCCGGTATCTTTCCTCTTGTTTTCATCTATACTTTTATCTACTTCTTTATAAAACAATGTAATCTGTTAAGTTCTATTTTCAGCTATATAACCCAGTAACAAACTTCTACACAACTTAAAATATCTCATTCTAGTCTACTTTGATACTATATATATTTAGACTTATACAATTTCACAGTAATCCAGTATCTTATATCCTATGTTATGTAAAACAGAATCTGCCTCTTATGTACTTGCCTTACATCCTACTTGTCTCTGAATAGCTACCTTACACACTGCCTATCTGCATACTTACCTTCTAACTTGCTTACCTTTATGTGGTTATTTATTCTACATCATATCTGCCTCTTTAAAGTTAATTTACATAATGTGTGTGTGGCTATATGTAGTAGTCTGATATTTATCTAGAAACAAGGCATACAAACATTAATGTACTATAATAATATAGAATTTTCCTTGGAAAAATACAAAATAAAGTAAAAGCATATGTTCAAATGAAATGAAAAACATTATAAAAACTAACATATCTCAATATTTCATATTTATACAAGAATTCTAAGAAAGTTTATGTTTGGCCTGATTAAGAAGCAAAAAGAACTACAATTATCATATAAAACAATTTTGTATAAATATCTACCAAACATATTATCTATAGAAAATGGTCTGATCCTATGATTACTAACAACTATAAAAAGAAAAAGGAAAAAAAAAAGAGGTTACCATATATTAATAACGAAGTAACATTAGTCTTGTTCTGCTCACCATACAATGCAACTAAAATGTTTATGTAGGAAATTGTATCAACTTGAAGGAAAATGACAAAAGATGAGTACCTTTTAAAATTCCAGGAAATACTTTGTTAAAGCAATTTTTATTGTTGTATTTTGTAGTTCTTCTTCCCATTTATTACATGGTTCAAGTTATTCTAAAGTTTGCTGAGAAACACATACACACAAAAAAAAACAAAAAAACCTTTATATGCAGTCTATTGATATCTCTAACAATTTAATCAAATATATATTTAATGATATTAGAATTAATTTTAATTCATTAAAAAATACTAAGAAGTTTAGATCTTTTGATGTTAAGTTGTAAAACTGTGGTTAAATGAGTCAGTATACCTAACATGTTTCTTGAAAAACAATTATAAGCTTCCAGATGATGCAACACGAAATATCTATAGACTCGCAATGCCCATTCTTTAGAAAGAAAAATCCTAAGAGCACTACAAAACAGTACACAGGTATGCCTAGACCATATACACAGGTGGAAGACATGTTCACAATTTCCTTGAACCATACTTTCACCTACAAATATTTCATATAAAAACAACAAATAAACCATAATAAACAAAAAATGTTAATGTAACAAGGGTACATGAAATGACTACAATATGATTATTACAATGGAACAATTAAGACCATCTGAATTTATTAACTTTTGTGAAAGACGTTTTTTGTTTTTAATTCTCTAATAAGTGACTATTACAGGAGAGAAAAATTCATTTCCCACCAATCTTGAGTTTACAGTTTTAAGTCCACACATTCAGCTCTGCCATTAACAGTCTTAAAACAAGTATACAATACTTGTTAGTCTGAATTAATATAAAATATAAATTTCTTTTTAATTACTGATCTCTGATAGGGTAAAAAAAAAAAGTTTTTTTTTCAAGCAAGTAACCACTGATAATAATAATAACACTCATGCATGAAGTTTAAAAAAACAACAGTATAAATATATATACATCCATAGGAAGAATACAGTATTGTTCCTAAGGTTCACAAAATCCAGCTGTAAAAAGAAATAAGGTAAACAGATTATCATAATACAATCCAAATTCATTCTTAATACAAAACAAAAACTAATGTAATTTATTTGTGATGACAGGAGCACTATTTTTTGTTTTTTTCTGAATAAAGAAGTATATTTATAAATGTGGCCAAGAACAGTTTAATTTATTGTCACTGAACACTAATTGTAATTGATATTTTTAAAATGAAATTAAAATGAAGAAATAAAATCTGAGAAACTAATTCGAAAGCTCGAGTTTTGGGTCTCGTTTTGAAAACCTATAACTTTTGTGTGTGATCCTGTGTGCTAACTTCTTAATCAGAATAGAAATTGTGTATGTATGCTAATCTTTATAAGACTTTAACTTTAAGCGACATTATTTAAACCATAGGAAATTATTATGAACATCTATGTAAGTGATGAACAGTCACAATTTATTTAATCTTCAAAATATCTATTGGGGGAGAAAAAAACAACAAAAAACTGTTTTTCACTTGAAACTAATTTTTCCACTGGTTCAGTATACTGTTTTAAAACATGTTATTAAATCTAGACTGGTGAATAATAACAAATGAATCAATTTCAGAATACTTTTCCTTTTCTTAGACACACTAAAGTTGTGTGCCAATTATCATTCATACAAGTCAGGATTTCAATCTTTTGAAAATCAGTTTGTTAAATCTTTAGATACAGCAATTAAAAAGAAAAAAGATTTCTCTAATGCCACAGTAAAAAGCAAGCACTAATTCTTTAGCTTCCTTAGTCTCTTTTCAACTTAGGATTAAATTAAATATATTATACAGAAATTGCATGCATATGCTTTTACAGGGTATTTTGTCTCAATAAAAATTACTTGATTATTGTCATTTCACTAAATAATTGATGAATCATTTATCTCCATCCCCGGAAACTAAAGTTACTGGTAATTAATTAAAAATATTTTTATTCTTATTTTTCCCCATGTTTAATATAGTTATTAATTTTCTACATTCATTCTTAAAGCTGCTTTAGAGAACTAAATATATATAATTTTAGTTTGCTTAGCATCTTACAAATGGTAAACTCAACATAACAACCAACATACAATTACAACAAATGTTCAATTATTAGAACAACTTTTAACTATATACCTAACTAAAAACTGGTAAACTATTTTAGCATTTATAGTCAGAAAAAGTACATTTCTAACATATATTTATGAGGCAAACAATAGGTCATTTTGCCAAATTGCCTTATTGATATTGAAACTAAATATAAGCATCACAGGCTAAGTTCTGAGATAAGAACATGATTTCTAAAGAAAAATAAAATGCTAAATTTTGTTAATGTAATTAACAAGTTAAATACAGGAAAACATTGCATGAGCATGAGAATATTTGAAAAATTGTATCTCGTAAATCATATTTTACAATGAGTCAACAAACAGCACAACAACAAGCAACAGATACTACAAGTAACTCTTTTCATTATTTCACTTGTTTCCTAAACATCTAATAGCTATACTTTAAATCAGGTAATTCTCATATTACCTAGTTATACCTGACAATCAGGGAAGAGAGGGGGGATAATTTAAAGGTTATCTTCATTAAATAGATGACTTAGTCACAAATATACAGATTTGTTTTGTAGTGAGGTCACTGACTTGTACAATTCATAATCAAGGTTTATTTTCAGCATTGACAATGGATTTTAATGTTGCTTAAGGCTCAACTTAAAAAAAAATTATCTGAAAAAATCATTTAAATACTTTTTGTTCAAGGTATGACAAACAAAGCTACAAAATGTAAACATATACGAACTAGCAAAATAAATAACTTAGAACATTAAAAATTATCACAGCAAATAAGCTCTTCCAAAGTAAATTTTAACTACAATTTTCAAAGATTATAAAGGTCTCACAGTTTAAATAGCATAACAAAATCAACAGCTCTAGCATCAGTGTTTCAGCAAATGGCCAATTAATTTTATTACAAGATCTGCTGGTTTCAAGCAAAGTTAACTCTATTTGTATTTTGATACAGGAAAAAAACACACACACACACACACACACACACACACATATATATATATTATAGAAACCAGATTCATGTATATATTACGATATATATATATACATACATACACATATATATATGTATGTATCTATATACAAACATTTTTTCCTTCTACAGTCTGACTTGAAATCCAATATAGTACAATTAATATTCTTCCAACTGTCACCTGAGTTCTGAAAGAGAAATTAGAATAATGACACAAGTGCAACAGAAGCTACAAGTGCAGATTAAAATGAACTGTTAAACTTCTCTAAAAACAATATTAATATTCAGTTAATTATTCATCACATTGTTGATCTATTTGTTGGATAAGGAAATTAAAAAATGCCCCCTCTCTCAAAACAAATTTAGGTCATTCCAAACAAAAATAGTTATAACTAGAATTAGATTATGAGGTTATCAATACAGTCAGCAAGATAGAAAAAAAACTCTAAAACTAAATATGTAATGAATTGTACAATGTGTTTAAAATACTTACTGTAATAATGATAACTAAACAAAGTGTACCTATTCCATAAATGCTTTGAAAAAAAAAAAAATTAATAAAAATCAATATTGACTTATATCTTTCAATATCTGAATAGATAAGTTCCATTTGAATCTCATACTCAGAAAGCTTCAAATGTGTCTTAACCTCAACTAATGCCATTTATGACATCTGTTTTCAAACAAAGGAAACAAAGGAGTTAAAATTTGAAAACCCTACTTTGGTGTTGCATTAAATACACTATAAATCATTCATGCTTACACTAATATCTTAGTGAATCACTTAACACCATCAATTCTTTCACTTATTTCCATCAATTTTTTTTTCTGTTTATACATTTTGTTGACTTTCTTTTCTGGAAGGTCATTTACATTAACAATGGGGTCAATAAAAACAGATTTAAACTTCTGAAACTATATTCTCCACACCGTGGTTATAGTGAAGTTCTGAAGATGGTGGGGGGGGCCCAATTCCTAACCTCTAAAGTTATAAAATTATAAAAGATCAACTATCTAGTACAAAATTTTACTAAGTATATACTGTACAATAAAGGGTAAACATATACTAACTAAGCTGTGATCAAAACAGCATGAAAACAAAAACCTTACAATGAGAATTAAGATGAGTTTGTGTGACAAGGTAAAAGGTTTGCCACACCCATCACTCCCAGATCCACTTACTAATGGATAGTTAGCCACAATTTCAAGTTTGCTCAATGAAAACCAACTTTCATATATAACTATATGCTCATCACTGTAATTCCTCTATAAACTTTAATTTTTTTATAGTATTGTTTCAGCTCTCTTTGTTCTGTATAGTGATTTACATAGTTTGGAGGGTCAAACCCCCCCTGGGACCACTCTCACTCTAACCACTGTGTTTTATATCACACAACTGCAAAATGATAAAGCTTGAGATAGTATTAGTGATTTTGTGTTGAAAGATACATATAAGCTTGTTTTTAATTATAAACATAAATTATAATACAAAAAAAATTTTGTCACGAATGACAACTTTTTGTAGTTATGATATTTTGTAAATATTTTCATTAACCCTTTAGCAACAAGAGCCCCTTTAAATGGTTTTCTGCTCAAGTCACTGTTACATTTAAAATTTAATTAAACGACATCTATTTTGCATTTATATATTTCAACTTTAATAGGTAGCGAGAAATTTATTCCAATTTTTGTTTATTTTCCTTTACAGATATATTAAGCGAAGACCTTCACTGACCTCAAGATGAAAACTAAAACAGCTTAAAACTACATTTTAGAATTATTCAATGATTCAAATACTTACTGTCTAAATGAAAATTCAGTGATGAGGAACTTGAGGTCTGGGGTTACCTCTGTTTTTTCGATACTTCTCACCTCTATCCATTACAGGTATCACTTGTTGCTTTAAATTAGGTAAGTTGATAGAACTCCTTTGTCGGTACTGAATTTCGTACCTGTAAGAAAATGGTTTACACGTAACATTCTCTGAATTTACAAAAAAGAAAATGTTAAAAGACATTGAATATATAAGAAGTCATTAAGTATCATAACTGTTCTTTTCTTTTGTAAAATAAACTACATCACAACTTATACATGAAATACATGTAAAATAGCTAGTTTACTAACAGTGTGTAACAACCTGCTATAACCTTTTCAAAAGGACAAGTTAAAAATATGTAAAAAAAATATTTTGAATAAGATTTTATCTTACTAATACGCTCATCTAGATCTTTTAGCAACCCTCTTCAGTGATATCAGAAATCAAACTAAATTTTACATAGACATGTTTGAACAGTAGTAAAGGTAAGACAGTGTAAGATAATATTTCAGAGTAGACAAACAATGCTTAAATGTACAATAAATCAGGATAATATAAAAATTTACCGGGTTTAATTTTTTTAAGAGGTCAAATAGAATCCTACTGATCTTTAATTTTGACACATATACTTGTTCATACTTTAATTAGAACTGAAAAAAATTCAAATTTTTAAAAACCTAACATCATGAAGTTTAACAGGATGTTCTTGAATGAAGTTTAACCAATACATTATTTAAAGTATGATGTAAAAACTTTTGCTAATTTCTATATACTTCACATTATCTAACTTAAGTGAAAAAATAATTTGCTTGGTTGTTGTTAAGCACAAAGCTACACAATGGGTTATCTGTGTGCTCATCACAGGTATGAAGCGAAAATAAAGACTTTTTCACAAACACTGCACTTCTAATACAACCAGCTAGTAATCAAAAGCAAACCATACATAAAATTAGCAATTATCTGTAAAATACATGATTATTTATATATTTGCAATGGCTATGAAAGAATTCGGTAGAAACCAGATGTATTATACATTAATAAAATTCTTTAAGTAAATAAGATTTAGTAGTCTGGAAATTTCAGACTAAAAACATTATCTAGTTAAAGTTACTACATCATTCCAAGCATATAAAACTCTTCAAGTCATAATCCTCACTGTATATGAGACATGTTGGTATTTCTCAATGGGAACCTTGGAAGTCGATGTTGGTTTTGTTGATTCTGTCTCCCACGGCTGTCATTATAACCAGATCTGTCTCCATAATAGCCACTGTGATAACCCTAGATAAACATAATTTGCAAACTGAAGGTGTTTCATAAGAGGATTTAAAATATACTCAGTTTATTTTAAATACAAGATTTAAAACAGGCAGACTTACCTCTGAGATATGAACTAGAATATCAATACTGAGATTGAGGAGTGAACTTAAGTCACTGTGTCACCAAAATTTGGCATCATACAAAGAAGGTAACAACCAAGACCACAACAATTGAAAATGTGATCAAGCCAAGCTGAACAAAACTCACAAAATGAGTAGATTCAATGGACTGGATTGACTGAAAAATTAGTAGAGCAGACCAGCCTCATAAGACATTGAACCAAATAAAGACTCTCAAAAAATATATTCTTATTAGCAGAGTATTTCCTCATCTTCCTCATTCTTTAAATAATATATAAAAGAGGGAAGTCAGGTGGTATGTATTTACACGTGGAACCATCATATTCTTAGATGTGGTCACAGGTGGTGATATAACAGGTACTTAGAATCAGATCACAATACACTGTTCTACACCCATACTAGAATATTCTTGGAGGAGTACACCAGTAACAGTTAATGACTGGACATGCACATGAGGATAAAGCTCCCCAACATTCACATCCAAAATGACTGGCCAAGTCATGAAACCAGCCCAGTGAGCAAGTACCCAGAGAGAATAAAAAAAAGACCCTGGCAGACCCAAGGATGGGCTCGACATCTATAGAAAAGTTCAATGGGAATACAGAATAGATTCAGAAAGATAAAAATAAAGCAGTAAGGTTTCCCCAATCCTAGCTGAAGCTGAGGATAAGATAGAGAAATGTCTTTTGTCTCATCTCCATTATTTCAAATGCTACATAAGGATCTTCACTTGGAGTGGGAAAGATATGTGCTGAGGCAACCTCAGCCACCAGATGGTATTCCCTCCCCCACTTTTAGAGGGCATTACTCTCTCTCATGAAGCCCAAAGGCTGAGGGTATAATATTATCTGGGACAATTGCAGATGTACATGCAGCATTCAAGAATCCTGATTGGACAAATCCATTCAAACACAATCTTACACTGGTGAAATTTAACTCAAACTTGTAATGAGTTTGAAGACATCATGGGAAACTTTACAGAGAAATTGAGCAAGTCAGTTTGTTAATGTAGCTGGTTAAATATCTGAGGATCATGATTCATCATAAAGTATAAACAACCTTTTTCGAGATTCTCTGAAGATTCAGGACATGTGAAATAACAAATAGCCCTGACATGACATAAAAATGTTCCTCCAAATGAAAATGAAGATCAGTCATAATAGGTAGGAATAAAGGTTAACTTCTCTTACAGCCATAAAGGTTCAATCTTGTTATAAGCTCTTGTGAGAAAATTAGGTATATGAAGCATCAAACACATAGATATCAGAAAATCTTCTGTTCAATGCAAGTAATAAAATAAAATACAACTTGAGTAACCAAACGCTGACAATACAGCCACAGAAATTCCCTGTATACTAGAGGCAGACTATACGAGTAAAGCCTCAAGAGAAGTTGTAAAAAGTCTGATACTGATATTTGAGGTAGTAGTAAACGTAGTAGTGAGTGAAGTAAAAGCACAACTGTCAACAAGAAAACCTGGATTATGGCAGGAGAGCAGAGCTTACAGATATCCTTCTAATGCAAGCACAATAAATCATATGGAAGCTGGGAGAGTGAAAAACTATGGGTATGTTGATGAAATGCTCTGCAATGTGTCAAGGAGATTCTGAACTTGACAGCAACTCAACAAGGAAATACTTTTTGTATTTTACAGACAAATCTGCTTGGTTTGTATTAAATTTGAAAAACGTTTTTATTTAACATGTGAAAAGCAACTTTAGAAGGTTTTCCTTTGAAATACAGTAGCCATATCACAGAGAATATGTAAGCAGATATATTTCACACACAATTTTAATCTTGTGTTTAATGATTAATTTTCAGTTTTCAAATGTTAGATGGTTGTATGTCATCATACAACAAACATACTCTCCAGAAACTATATGAAAATTCCAAAATTAATTGTCAACAATGTATCTAAAATAAGATATATATAGATTTTCACTCTACAGGTTAATTTTTCTCTTATCGGGCAGATTTTAAAGTATGTAAAACACAAAAAAATTTGGAACTGACAACTTACCCTGCCAATTCTAGCTCTAGCAGATGCTTGGTCAATTTGATGGATTGTATCTCTGTACTCATCAATTTTATGAGACGGACCAGAGTGTTGGGGAGCTCTGGTCATTCCCTCTGGACAAGTCTCAAATTGGATCGGTTGGTAAGGAACAGTGGTTACAGAACTAGCATTTAAATACTGTTCCCTAAAAATAAAAAAACAATGAAAGTAAACTTATATGTTCAGTCAGATTTTAGGTAAGTATTTGTTTACAATTATTGTGAATATTAGTACCTCTTTTTTGTGGATTTTATGATTATTTTTGTGTAAAACAACATACAGCCATCTATTACTTAAAACCTGTAAACTTAACCAGGCATAATTACTTAAATTAAAAACTTGGCCTAATAAAGTTATTTTCAAAAAGATTATTACAAAATTGTAATAAAAACTAGTACAGAAGAACTGGACAAGAAAACAAACATAATATACTCAAATTTAAAACAATGAAAAGAGTCGTACTAATTGTTGGAAACAGTTTACAATTAAAACCTAACATAACTTTACCAGGGTTAATACGAACTTTAATCAGTTTTACTAAGTATTAAACTTGTTATTTGATGGAGTGTCAAATATCTGTCAAAATAGCACCAAGCAACACTAGTGGTTAAAACTATATTCTAGTCAGAACACAGGAACAATAGCACAGCTAGACATGGCTTACTATCTTACATAATAATTAAGTAAATGTAGTATTGTTGATTAATATTTAAATAAGAAATAAAACTATGCTCTCATAGTTATTGAAATGCTTTTGATTTATCCTCTCCTATTCTATGATGTATAAATTTTTTTAATAGGATAACATATTGTTAAGACAGCAGAAGTCACACGATGCTAGGAGCATGTGAGCTGGAGTTTCTCGAAGGATCATGAAGGCCCGAGTGCATTTGAGATGCCCTATTTTTAGTATATAAGCCTGGCGAGAAAAACCAGCGTGATTGAAGAGATAGATAATTGAGTAGGCACTGTAAGTAAAGTGTGTAAATTGCTGTCATTTATAGCGTGTGTTAAAAAGGTTGTTAAGTTTAAAGTGACTATGGAAATTCTGTGTATTACTAAAATTTGTATCGAGAAAGAATAAACTAGGTTTAATCAAGAAAGGACCTGTATCACTGAAGTTTCTCGGAGAGAATTTCTACCGGAAATTAACAAACAGGCAGATACGTAACAATATGTTTAGATCAATTCAAATCACACAGAACATCAAACCCTAGATAATGAATAGATGATCACAAAACGTTTTTATTAAATAAAATAATTTAAGGATACAAAACACAATATTTCAAAATATATTTTAGCAAAATTTTGTGCATTGTAATTAAGTGCCATAAGTCAATTTTACATGTTTGTAATGCATAACTTTTAGCAATTTCTAGCCACTCAGGTTAACCCTTTTGCAGTGAGGTCATGTGTTTTACATGATCTTGTAACTTCCATGTAACCATGAAGGTATATATATATATATATACTATAACTCTGCAAGTACATAATGTAGCTTCACAAAATCTGACAAGCTTTCAGTAAACATTACAAGTCATTTGTAGAGATAAAAAATCACAATTTTTAATTAAGCACTTTTATTACATATTTATCTATAAATATGTGAAGTCAGAATGTTGACTGTTGCATGTGCAAAGTTTAAGATTAAAAATACTTTTCTTCATCTGAAAATTTTATTTGCTTAATCCCTAACACCTCCTAAATAAATATCAAATTTTTTTTTTCAGAAAAAAAATTATATTTTATCTGTTATTTTCTCTAGTATAACTTTTATGAGGTCAGTTGATTTGACTAACCTCATAACTACAACATAAAAACAGGAAATAAATCTAAATTACCCTTTTTTCTTTCTAGAATGACTGCAAATTGTAATAGGAAACCACAATTGTTTATCCTAACTAGCTTAAAGCTCATAATAATATACATCTAGTCATACTTAATTTTATTGCTTTATTGACCTTTGAACTGTGTCTAACTAATAATCCCATCAAACAAGTTGTAAATCACTCAGTTAACATGCAGCTCGTGTTACCACATTGAATTACATAATGAATGAGCTTCTCACAACAATACCTTGTGAAGAATTTTGATTATTTTTTTCATTATCTTAATTAACCTAAGAAGTTTCTAATTTTTACAATTAAGTTACTTTTACAATAATAAATAAAAAATACACATGAAAAACAAGAAATATGGTACTTACCTGGGTCTTTTTTTATGTTGACTGTTGATGAAACTTAAGCCTACTTTTTTATACTAATGGTACTACTACACAAAATAATTTTTTATTTAATCAAATAATCCACTTAAGAACACAGAATAATAACACACAAAAAGCAAACAATGTCCTACACTATCATAATTTCTCTGGCTTTCTAATTATGCTCATTGAGGTGATTCCCATGAGAAAAAATTTGAAACTGAACAACAAAATAGACAATGCCATGTACAGAAAATAATATAATGTAATACATCATTTGATAGATTAAAACTTTAGCTTTCTATTCGTTATAAATAATATAGTATAAAACATCAGAGAGAACTATTGGCAATTTGTGTAAGAGAGGATGTGACAGGTGAGCATGGCAAGTGGATTTGATTTTCTAGTTTATGGCTCCATAAACAAATAAGATTGAAGGCTATAAAAATTATGTTTTGCTTCAATAGTATCTATGTTATAATAAGTAACTTATGTTAAATTTCATACTTCTTGGACGGATGGTAAATAAATTAGAGAAGACCTAAAGAGTAAATGTCACAATTTTCATACTAGGGGAGTTTGAGAATTTTTTTAATATTTCCTTATAAAATTAAGGACTTAAACTTATATAATATTAACATTTTATTTATTATCTATGTTTTAATGCCTAGTTTATTTGCATACATTGATAAGAAAGTAGCTTAATTAAATTCTGAATGTAACTCTAAATAGTTGTAGCATGCACACTTTGACCAATCTGATCTAAGAGGGTTAATCTAAAATAATCATCATAATTATGAAAGACCCAAAACTACTGCTTCATGTTTTTTCTTTTGTGTAAAAACAACAGAAATATTAAAAAACAATGCATTGCAAAATAATGTTAAACACTGGTCTACTAGTTTATACCAATATTTGATATATGATCCTTCTTTTATATCCTTAAAGATTATTCAAGTATACACAACCAAATAAAGTTTACCGTTTGAACAGCTCCAGTTGGGTTACAAGAGTAGCATTAGATTTTAGAGCATCTCTCAATGCAGCACGTAATTTTTTTAATTCCTTCTCCAATTTCTCAATTTTTACTTTGTTTTCTGTAACAGATTTATATAAAAATAAAGATTCACAAAAAGCATTCTTAACAGAGCTTATATTTTGTGTATTATTACTGTCATATATTTAATATTCAGAACATTCAAGTATATATATAGCTTATCAAAATATTAGCATTAATTATGGATAATAAGTTTAAAGGAAGTATCCATGGTAATATACTCTGCATAAGTTTTGGTAAAACCTCATTTTCAATTGTGACAATTATGATTTGTACTTATTAACAAAGCATTGTTTTGTAAATAAGGAGATATTTATAGATAATTTTCTCAACTACATAAACAAATTTAACAACTGAAATTTTTTTTGCACGTGAGTGAGAAGACATAATACAAACTGCTAACGTATGTCATAACTGACATTAAAAGTGTTCTTGTACTAGTTCAATACTGAAATACCTATTTGGAAAAGGCCTTTTGAAGATTTAATTGTATTCTTAAAAATAGATGTATTCATTTTTCATACATTATTTTAAGTAATTTGAAGTTATGATCTATATTAACTATTATAGCACTTAATGACCACATTCAAACATTTACTAAGTAGAATTTGCAATACCAGAGAGATGAAAAAAATAGCTATCCATAGACTCAAAGTTAATATTTTTTTTAAATAATAAGATCTAGAACAAAAATTAACAACTTTTAAACAATGCAGCAGTAATAAATTGCATATATTAAAGAAAGTTTGGTTGATTTTACTTATAGTATTGTAATATTTTAAAGTTGTACTATTGCAATTATGTCTTAAGAGGTAGCTAAAGATATTTTAAAGATAATTTTAACCACCACAAAAATTGTTAGACAGCTATTTACCCTTTAAAAATGTTTAGTTTCTGGGCTTGCCTTATGTAGAAAAGTGTTTATTTTGAAAAGCAGTAAAAATCCTTATAATGATCATGAATTCAGAAATAATAGCAAAAGCATTAGACTGTCTTTTGTGGCCAGTGAAACTTGCATGTTGACCTATTCAATCCCAACCATTTTGTTTTTTTACAGCAACCCTTCTTATTTAGTCAAAAATTATCACCAACATTTGGCATTGCAGACTCTTACTAAGTTAGCTAAGTTAATTACTAGATTAAATTGTAGTTTTAATCTATGTAGCAGGGGGTGTACTAATTTTTTAATGTACTAGGCATGAGAAGTGTAATAGCCCTAGCTGAAATTCTATCAGCCCAAATATTTTGTTTTTACTACAATGACTAAATTATTACAAAATACAAATATATCTATATTCATTGCAATGACTTCATTCACAGTATTACAAAACTAAAAACAATGCAATTTATTACAGCATTTTTGACACAGTCTTAAAATATGTAAGTTGGTTAACTAGTCTACATATGTGACAGACTGGTATTATTGTACCTACGAAAAGGTTTGTGGAGTCTTGAGAGGACAGTCTCAGTTATTTTGCCAAACAAAGTTGTTTTATCTTGTATCAATAAAACTTGGAAGTAAAAAAAAACATAACCTAGTATACTTTTCTTCACCTATATTCAAAATTAAATCTACTACTAATTTCTTTTGTGCCAATACTGATGATATACAAAAAAGAGTGACATGCTCTTGAAGAAAATAATTCTGACTTTTCAACACAATTGTTTTCAGTCCTAATCAGTGAAACATCAATTGTTGGCCAGTTGTTATATTTCAACCAAAAAGATAATGTAATCTCCTGATATGAAGGCAACTATAATTCCATTTTCTCTTTACTTTTCACATTTTATGGGTATATTTTCAATCCCAGCTTGTCTAATGTAACCAAGCAACCTCCATGTAAAATTAAGAGATTCTGTCTATACAGGCCATTGACATCAGTAGATGTAAGACAGTAATACACACATGAGCTTTCCAAACAGGAATGTCAAAACTAAAAATTATGTTCATAACAACAAATAGGTTAGTACTTTAGACTATACGAAAAGAATGGAAAAACACATGTTTAGTATTGAAAAAAGTACCTTAAGTTCACAATGCTTACCAGAGCAACATGACTTGGGTTTTATAATATTTGACTCCTTATCTGATGCATCTGTACCCATGGTAAGATGAAACTGAAGCTCTGAAAAAGAAAATAATAAACCAAAAAAAAAACAAAAAAAAGAACATGAAGGATATATATATACTCTACTACTATTTTGTACTCAGATCTTTATTTTGAGTACAAATCTGAATTTCAAATATGTACACCTGTACATATTCTTTTAATATATACAAAATTTAAAATAATTCTATGAGCACCTGCATTTTTATTCTTTACAAACACCATTTCATAAACTATGTTTTGGTCAATATCAAAGGAATACTTTCTGTTTTGCTACCATATCCTTTTCATTTTATACATTTTGAAAATGACTTCATCAGATCACCATTAAAAAAAATCATTTATGAGGTATTCCCTGGCTATTGGTAACCAATCAGTTAAATGGCTGAAAAAGGTAAACTTACAATAAAAAATAAAATATGTTCTAGAAAGGAAATTCTGGAAAGTACCAATTTTCTAGAATTTTATTACTCAATCTAGAATCATGATAAGGGAGAAATTAAAGTTACTGCTATTCAGTAAAAACTTGTTTCACCTTCCACAAGTGACAAACAAAGGTCCATCATCCTGTATGGACAGTGTTTTATCTAAATATCAATCAAAAAAGCCTTAAAGTAAAGTTTTTGGAAAGGCTATAATATTAGCTGATTTTTTTCACTTGATAAATCTGTCTGGTGAAACAACTGCTTTTAGTAGTGGATTTCTCTTGTGTATTCCCCTATATTGAACTTAATCCAGAATAATTCCCTCGAATTGAGTTTTCTAGCAATATAGCTTTATAAACCTCAAGTTGTGTAGCTTTTATCGCAGAAACAAATTTAGAAGTTAGCTAACCAGATACAAATATACTCCTATCTAATTGAACATATTTGCTATGTTTCTTATTAGACAGATATTTACTCAAAGGCTAGAAATACAGGAAATTTTGTTAATGGCCCATTCAAACCTACAAAAGTGGCAACAAAATGTTGCATAACAGGTAGGATGTTTATGTAAAATATACTCCCAGTCGGAATATCAAAGGAATTCATATAAAATTTGCTGGAAAGAATTAGAAACTAATGAGGCCAAAGGAAACTTAAAAGATAACCACAGATGGATGATGTCAAATAAACATATGTTACTTAGATGAAATTGTTCAAGGTTGGCCTTGGACCCAACGAACCAAGAGTTGTTATAAAAGTGTGCAACCCTGAGATTCCCTTTTTAGTGCATATCTTTCACTTATTAACATTTCAGAAATTTTGAAACATCTGGTAAATGCTCAATAAAATCTAAAGACTGCAGAGGCATCAGTCAGTGGAGAGTGCAACAAGTCAGAAGTCAGCTCGTTGGTCAACGAAGAAGCTAAAATAGAACATGTACAAATAGTCCAATTGTTTTAGACCTTGCATTAGTAAAGCATTTATTAAGTAGGGCCTATATTCAATAAAGAGATAAATTAACACTGTAATTTGTGTGCATTTTTTGCATTAGTTTAGTTGGAGCTAAACGTTATCATACTTACAAGCATAGACCCACAAAACATTTCTGGCCAAATTAGTATCTTTATCGTAACAGTACTTCTTTAAATATAACATTTCTAGTACAATACAAACAAATTGTAATCGTAGACAACGAAATGTGTAAACCCACTTGTATATTGGCCGTACATTATAAAACTTTAAATTATGTTAGGCCTAAATTCGATAAAGAAATAAATTAACACCATAACCTGTGTACGTTTTTTTTTACTTCCTTTAGTTAGTACTAAACTTTACTGTACTTAATACTATTGATAAATAAACTTATAATGTTATTCTACGACCTAACATTAGACCTTTTTTAAAACTTTAAAAAGCTTTTAATATGTTGTTGTACAAAATGTCTACTAAAAATATATATTTACATCCAACTTTTGTTAACATCCACTGAAGTGTGTATGCATGCACATTTAGATAGAAACATGTGCACACATTTTCAGGACACACAAAAATTGAGTATTATTATCACAGATGATATATGTTTTGCAAATGTCAATAAATGCATTTTGTTGTTTGTACATTTTGTCTGACTCATTTCCTTATTATAATTTAAGCATCCTTTAATTGGTGATTTATGTGCTAATTACATGGACTGTATATCTTGTTATTTTAAATGAATATCATTTGTAGTGCGGTATTTATCTCATGGTAATGCCCATTACATAACTAACAATTAATGATCCTCATTCTATGAAATAATTCAGAAAATGTTATACATATTTTTATAATAAGTCTTTACTATGAAATACTGATTTAAATTTCAAAGAATTCTGTGCAATAGTTATCCTCTGATTCAGGTTTTCCTTTGCAGTATTTAAAGATCAATCACTTTTTACTCCCATTGAAAATAGTTTAAACTATTACTTTACATAACACAAATAGATTTGGATTTTCTGAAATGGCAGTTCTCCAATAATTATAGAAGTAAACTATTTTTCTCAAAAAACTGTTCTTAAAAATGTCTAAAAAATAAATTAATTCCTAACCTCTGTTTTTCTCTTTAAGTTCCTCCACTTCTTCATGCAAGCTATGCAAGACCAAGGCATGCTGTTCTTTCACAAAGGCCAAATTCTTTTCCAGCTGATGAACTTTCTGCTTCAGATCCATTTCTTCTCTTCTGTCACTAATAGAAAGTCTAGAAGACAAAGAAGAATTCAACTCATCTGTTGAATCAGCTGTGGTAACGAATGAGCGATGTGGAGGCAGTCTCTGAAGGCGATCACAATGAAATGGTCTTGGATATCTATCAAAGTGGTTGATTCGAGACCAAAAATGTGTACGATATGGAGGAAGATATGTAGGTTCTTGAAGAGGCAGAATCAATCCATTAGCAGCAAGGACAGATGGAGAAATGGGCACATGAACATTACCTGCTCCTTCAGACCTGCTCATGATGAAGCATGTAACATAGTTTTATTTTCTTGGAAAAAGAACTTCTTAAACACAAGGGGTCATTTGGTGACATAGAACAGATGACTTTACCATGGAGAATCTGAGTTTCAGCACATAAATAACAAAGAAAAAACATAAGTTTAACATGACTTATATCAAAACCAAGTTATAAGATTTTAAACATACATTTTGTAACTCCATTTCAACATGATGTAATCTAATCTAACAAAACTATTTTTTAAAAGGATAGAAATTTTCAGCTTATTATATTTCTCTGCACTCTTTAGAAAGACAAATTAGCTTGGTAAGTATGTTTGGTCCTGATTTAAAAGAAAAAAAATTCAATTTTCTATAAGATTTTGCATAATATTGTCAATTTCATTGAAATATGCATTTCAAAATCTTTTCTTTAATGTTACTTGCTACGTGTCATTTTTACACACTCATGACTAATTAAGAGGAAATGTGAAAGTTAACATTTTCCTTAATTTAAAATGTATTTCAGGTACTTATTCACCTCTCTATAACAAAGAGCTATTACCTTATGTCACCACCTTGAACAAAGCTATCACCCCTATATGCATTAATGTGTACTATGCCAGCCTAGATGTAATCATTATTAGTTGTTTGTTTGTTTTGAATTTTGCACAAAGCTACATGAGGGCTATCTGCACTAGCCGTCCCTAATTTAGCAGTGAAAGACTAGAGGGAAGGCAGCTAGTCATAACCACCCACCACCAATTCTTGGGCTACTCTTTTACCAATGAATAGTGGGATTGATCATCACATTATAACGATCCTACGGCTGAAAGGGCAAGCATGTTTGGTGGAACGGGGGATTCGAACCCATGACCCCCAGATTATGAGTCAAGCACCCTAACCACCTGGCCAAGATCATCATTACACTAGAGCCATCCACCAATAGGAGGGCTATGCATTCTCCATGCGCATTAATCCAGATGAGTACTAGCAACTAAACAAAGCCTCATCTTTGTTAACGCAAAAGTAATACATAAGAACTGGAGAGAAAGGGTGGGAGATTGTGCAGAGAAGTGAGTAATTATAGGAAATAGATTTTCAAGAAAGAAAAATGTTAATTTCAAAGATATTTTATCACTTCTCTGCACAATAAAGAGCTAGAATCCCACCTTGGTAAGATGATGGAGGGGCTGGTGTAGGTAAAAAATTAAATAGCTGCATTCCTTTCTGGAAATTATAACATCAGAAAGAGGAAAATCCATGGAGCATGTCACCCACTAGGGGGATAGCCTAGTGGGACATCATTTGCAGGGAATATTCTTTGCCCAATAAAGGTGATAGAGCAAAATATAGTGATAAAAGAACCTTCTAAATGGTGTCACACAAAAGAGCAGATTGTAAAGTTGCTTACTTCACAGGTTGGTTGGCTGAGCATGAGTATATAGTTTGCCTAACACGATAAGTACTGTATTGGAGAAATATTTACATCAGATATCTACTAGAATAATTAGCTGCTAGGAAAGAATATCCCAAGCCTAAATGAACACACAAGACCCATCCAGCTGGCCTAACCATCAGAAATGGTTTGGTTCATAGTATATTTGGGTGGCCTGTACTACACTTCTACTTAACACTCCTGTTCTACTTTCCATGGAGGGGTGTGTCCACTTGGTCTCAAAAGAGCGTGGTTACACAGGTCCAATGGAGAAATCTTCATATTGGTCTTCCCAGTGACTTGAGACTGGGGAAGCAAGGGTCTCCCCCTCACTCCATTATAAGAAAGAGGGAGGGAGGAATTTGCATGGGGGAATATGTCAGAGAGGTGCATAGAACAAAAAGGAATCATAACATCTGCATTAGGTCCCACACTGAAGGATTGTGCAATGGGTTACTGCAGATAGGTGCAGCATGTGCTAGTCAAGTGTGAGAGCAGGTGCACGTGAAAGATAGCCTGTAAGGCAATATATACACAAACACACACACACACATTGTCAAAGCACTCAAAACGAGCATTGAGTTGGGACAGATGGGTTTTAACACTTTCTGTTACGTCTGCTTGATGCGGATTTTGGGAGAGAGAAGTATACCTTGTAAGGCATCACAAGCCAGTTTTTGGGGTCCATTGTCTCTAGTATATGTATAATAGTGGCAATGAAGAAGCAGTAAAAAATTCATAATAATCAACAGCTCACCTCACTAGTCTCTCTAAGAAGACTGGAGAATAGTGACTAGAAGATGAAATCCAGATGCAGATGAGACCTCCATCTGATGTATGAAGTGGAATAAACATTTGTCAGGGGTCATCCACATACCTGCTTGCAAGATCTCACGCAGGGGTGTCGATGGCAAGGGGCAAGAAGCCATGAGATGAGGAACCTGATGGGAGATTATCTGAAAAATTTGACACATGTCCTCTTCCATGTAAGAATAATCAAGCCAGATAAATTGATGAACCCCACTGGTCAAAGTGGATGGCAATAAGAAATAAGAAGAAGAGGAATTAACCAGCAATTGCCGTGTGTGGGAACAATATGGATGAGATAATACTGAACTACCTGAACAGGACATAGATGACTGGAGTTATATAATTTCTGTTATATAAGGACATGCTTTTAAATTGGAAGAGAATGTTGACAGAAGATGTTTAACTGAAGTGGGAAACCTTTGGGGTTGAGGAAAAAAAGAAAAATCCAAGCTTAAGCCTCAATGGCTTACAAAGAAAATCAAACAGAAAATTAAAGAAAAGTATTACAAATTTGCAATGGCATAGCAGTAAATCTAATGTCTTATAACACTAAAAACTGGGTTTTGATACTCATGATGGGCTCAGAACAGATAACCCATTATGTAGCTTTGCACTTAACTACAACAAACAAATTTACAAAATTAAACAAATTGTTTGAATGGATGATTTAGAAGCTTATAAAAGTACTAAAGAACTGGTTCAAAAATATATCAGGAAATTTAAAATGGTGTACCTAAAAATGTGAATGGAAAATTTTAACACGCAGAGAAAATACTTTTTAATTATGTGATATGGAAGAGAATGGGAGTTAAATATCTAAATATAAAGATGGAAGGTTTTGGGTTGACTATTACAAGATAACAAATCAGCTAAATAAATTTTTCTCACCAGTTTTCATGAGGGAAGAAGTAAGATGAATTCACAAGATCTTCCTCCGAAAGATTACATGATATTGTTGAATGAAGATAAGATTAAGCCAGAGCTGGTAAATTTCAAGAATGGAAAACAAAATGAAGGTAACACGCATGGGATAATGAACGAAACAGAAAAAACATTTATGGGCTGTTAACCTTAATTTGCAATGAATTCATTAAATGTGGTGAGGTGCCAGATGACTGGAGATTAATTAGTCAATACCACACAACCTTTAAGAAGAGGGAGAGAGACAATGTCCAGATAACTAGCAGTAATTTAGTCTTATCAGTGGTTGGAAAAGGCTACAGTCTGTAAGTAAAAAATTTTTTTCTAGGGCAATTAGATAAGTTTCATGTTATCAAAGATAAAACAGATTTGGAAAAAGAAAGTAATGGCTTAAAATTTGTAACTTTCTTTGAAAATGTAACATTTAATATGGGCAAGAGTTCATGCAATGGATTTGGTGTTCTTGGACTTTTATAAAGCTATTGATAAGGTGCCCCATAAGAGACTTGTTAGAAAGGTTGAATGTGTTGAGGCAGGAAAAAAGCTGGTTAAGCAGACTGAGAGATGGATGGGTGGTAAAAGTCAAAAGGTCATAAATGAGCAGAAATCACAGAAAATTAATGTTACAAGTGGTGTACCTCAAGGTGCTGTGCCAAGTCCTTTACTATTTCTCATTTTAATTAATGATGCTGATAATGGAATAAGTAATACATTGATTAAAATTGCTTATGATACTAAATGGAACAGCATTTTCAATTGTAATAAGGATGCTAAAGTTTTTCTGAGATATAAAATATTTAGTGAGCTGGTATGCCCTTAAATTGTAATAAACCTATATGATTTTGCATATTGGTTACCACAATATTTATTATTTGCATAGCTTTCTGAGGAAAACTAAGTGAAGTTGATGAGGAAAAAAAAGATGGGCATAACAACAAAGTATTTAAAGGCCACTAGACACTGTACATTAGTTGTTAATAGAAACATACAGGATTTGAGGTTACATACAAAAAAATATTAAGTTCATGAAAGAGTTCATGACTACACTTTAAAACATGTTGTTCACATCACATTTTGAATACTGTGTTCAGTTTTGATAATCTTATTTAAAAAAGAATGCTGAGTTATTGGAAAGGGGTTCACAAAAAAGCTTCTAGGATGACTCCAAGCTTGGAGAGGATTATCATATTAGGATAAATTTAAATCTCTTGATATGCTTTCACTGGATAAAAGAAGGGCTTGAGGGAAGAACTGAGGTTTTAAAGATTGATAAAGGTTTGGAATCCACAAGTCCACATGATATTTTCATAAAAGACTTACTAGTAGAAAGAGTTGAGGACACAAGTTTCAGATACAGAAATCTCAGAAATGTCCCCAGTTAAGGCAGTGTTACTTTTCCAAAAGAATGTTTAGCTAAAAACATATTGACTTAATAATCTAGGGAAGAAAACTGAGAAAATGAAATGTAGATTTATGTAAAGGAGAATTTGCTCTTTCTAATGGTTAAAAGCATGTCCATCAACCATGTAAAGGTGATTAGCAAAACAATTTCAAAAGTAGGTAAAGGGCTTTTCTGATGGTTTCACAAATTTATTGATATTCCAGCATATCAGGGTAGGAAGTTAAAATTTTTTTTACTTGTAAGTATGTATAACTATATAATATAAAAATTTGAATTATAAACTCTGTTTTCATGCCAAATTTATTGACACGTTGATAATAAAGTTGTTTACTTAAGTTTTCAATGTAACCTGTAAAAAGTCATGATGTGCACACACTGACTTTACCACTCTTACAGCAGCAATGCTACTTGAGATTTTAAAATGATGTGGAGGGGGGGGGGGCAAAGTTGTAAGGGGGTCAAAAGGCCTCTATGCTCCTGAAAGCTTTTTCTTAAGTGAAAATACAGTAATATGTGTCCTGGCATTGATTTTTGCCATAGCTTTATAGTACACACAGTAAAAATATAAAATAGGTACTTCATTATCACATTCTTCTAATCTTCTTGTACAGGTATATATATGTTGGTTTGGGGGCAAATGTCACCTCATGCTCAATTGATGCTCCTACCACAGGGGTCAGTGCTGGAGTATCTATTTTTTTCTTATTTACATTAATGATACTGATAGGGAAAAGGAAAGGTATTGTGTTTTGATTATTATAATTTTCCACACACACTTATGTAGACAGAAACATACTATATAGCATGGGTATCAAATTCTGAGGATGAAGCTCTGAAATCTCTCAAACAAATGTGAGATCATTATATAATAATTATGAGTTCAAATCTAACATTCAGTCTAATTGCTGATTGCCATTTGTCTTCAATAACAAACTGGGTAGATAAGAAGACTGGACTAATCACGTATCACTAATTAAAATGTCACCTGCTTCACAGTTTACCCACAATATGCTACTCATTTTGGAAGCACTATCTAATTTCACGAGGTCTCTACACAGACAGAAACCACATGACATACATGAGTCAGCCAATTTGTAATGTATACAATGTATATGTACCTAAAACATGCATACATTTGATATTAGCAATTAATCAAGTCAGTAACAGCATTAGAATACTAAAATCAATGCATTTTGTTTTTACTCTTTTTTTTACACAGGTGAACCAAAATTTTCTTGTCTCATACTCTCACATAATGCTATATTTACTCATCAGGCAATAAGCTAAAAATTAATGATTCGTGCCTAAAGCAATGTCAACATTGAAAGAGAAATTCTGTAGGCTGGAAAAATTTATATTTACCATCTAAATCACCCCTAAAAAAAAAGATCTAACTTTATTCATAATTTCTTTTTATCATCCATACAGCTTAAGCATTGTAGTATTTACTACTTGCTTAATCTAAGAACTCTCATGCACGTATGTTATTGATCCAGTATAGTCCAAAAATTAAGATGTGAAGTCTTACATGTACTTTTAAGTATTTGGAAGTGTACCTATACTTTGTGGCTTAATGAATCACATAAAATACAGATTGATGACTGCCATAATACTGTGTTATCACATCCTCTCAATGTTGGCAAATGTGTAAAATAACTATTATATTTATTATATGTAACATATTTGAACATGTTACAGCATGGGGCAGGGGCAGCACATATAAGGCTTGGTAAGGCTTAGCCTCCCCAAATAAACTGTCCATCACAGGGTATTATTCTCAGCAATTGAAAAATATTATACAGTATTTATGGAGAGAGATCAAAAGAAGGTGTATATAAGTCACTGAGGAGAGTTTATTCATTTAGGAGCAATCTTCCCAATTGTGCAACCCCCACAAGTGACAGAGTAGCCTACCCATACAAAAAGACTCATTCGCCACATATGGCATAGAGCCTATAATAATTGTCACACAGAAAATAATTTATATATACGAGTGTTATATCTCACAGTTCTAAGAAATAAAGAAATACACATTGTGTAACTAAGGGTAAAATAAACATTAAGTGCTAAATCTGCTGATAACTATTGGAAAGAAGGCCAAACATTCTGCTGCTGATAATAAAGGCAATTTTTTTAGATGGTGAGTTAAAGTTACACTTTCAAATGTTACAAGTAAGACTTCACAGTCTAATTTTTAGCATTAATTGGAATAGAATAGATAACACAAATTTTATACTTTTTATATTCAGACTAGCTGTATTTAATCCTGTCTGAAGACTCAAAATATAACATTTTAACCTAACATTATTAATAAAA